CACCACAGATTAGTTTTAATTAGAATTCCATATAAATGGATTTGTACACTATGTAGTCTTTTGTGTTGGGCCTCTGACTCGGCGTAAGGATTCTGAAATACATGCACTTTGCTGCATGCGTTAGTGGTTTGTTCTTTTGATGGTGAGAAGTATCCACTGTATGGCTATCCCCCAGTTTCTCTGTTTGCCTCTTGGTGGACATTTGGGTTGATTCTCATTTGTGCCTATTATGAATAAATCTGCTGTGATCATTCTTGCACAAGTCTTGCAGACATGTGTTTTCATCTCTTTGGGGTAAACAGTGGAGTGGCTGGGTCATATGGTTTAAGTGTATGTTAAACTTTGTAAGTCACCAGACCTTTCTCCCAAGTGGTTATGTCAGTTGACGTTCCCACTAGCAGCAGCGGGAGTTCCCAGCCTTTTTATTTTGGCTCTTCTAGGTGGGGTGTGCAGTCTCTTTGTGGTTTAGATTTGCATTTCCCCGAAGACAAAGGACGTTGAACATCTTTTCAGGTTCTTACTGGCCATTGTAGTTCCCCTTTTGTGAAGTGTCTGTTCAAATCTTTTGCCCATTTATAAGAAATCAGGTTGTCTATTATTGAGCTTTAAGACTTTTCTGTATATTCTGAATACAGGTCCTTTTATATACAGACTGGGTGTTTTCTCCTAGTCTGTGGTTTGCTTTTTCACTTTCATAGTGGTATCTTTCAGAGACCAGAAGTTTTGATTTTTTTTGAAGTCCCAATTTTTTCTTTTCTAGTTAGTATTTTTGGTGTCCTACGAAATTTTAGCATTCCTTTTATTCTGATTAAGGTTGAGTACCTTTGCTTATGTTTAAGGGCCAACTGCCTACCTTTTACTGTGAACTATGTGTTTGGCCTGCTTTTTAAACATCAGTTCATTGATCTTTCTCTTCTTTATTTTTCAGAGTTATTTGTATATAAAGGAGATGAGCCTTCTGTGGTATACTGCAATGTTTTCTCCCAGATTGCAGTCTTTTTTACTTTACTTATAGTGTATTTTACACGCAGAAGTGCACACGTGTTTTTACGTAATCCAATGTATGTTTTTATTGCTTGGAGATTTTAGGTCAGAGGCTCCCCACTCATGGGTCGTAAAGTATAATTCATCCATGTTTCCATTTAGTATTTGTATGGTTTCGTTTTTTGTGGGGTTTTTTTACACATTTAGGTCTCTTTCATTTGGAGTTGATTCTAATGTACAGTGTGAAGCATGGAATTAATTTTATCTCTTTGCAAATAACTATCCCGTTGTCCCCATATCGTCTATATTAAACAGTCCATTCTTTTCTAATGAGTTGAGGTCACAGTCCCCAGACCTTTATCATCCAAACACTAAATTTCCATGTGTCCTTGGACGTCTATTTTGTTGTTTCTGGACTCATTTTGTTCCATTGGCCCATCTGTCTATGCTCATGCTGACATAACCGTCTTAATTATAGACATTATGACATGTTTAAACACAGAATAGGGGAACCACATTGCCCCTTTTGAAACGTTTTCCTAGATATTCTTATTTTTCCATATAAACTTTAGAACCAGCTTGTCTAGCTCCAGAAAAGATACTTGATTTTTGTAAATTAAGCTTGTGCTAAATTTATATACTAACTTGGGAAAAGTTGACATCTTGATTGATGTTGAATTGTCCTGTGCAAAAACAAAGGGTGTTTCCCCATTCGTTTCAGTTTACTTTTCATAAGCTTCTTGTGAGGCTGTTGCAGGACTGTTTTGAAGTTGTTTTTTTCATATAGATTTTGTGTATTTCATGTTAGGTCTATTCCCTAGTAATTTCTCTTTTTCATTGCTCTTATAATGGGTTCTTCTCTTTTATTGTATTTTCTAACTGGATGTTGTTTGTATATAGGAAGGCTACAATATTCGTTAATTTTATATCTTGCTATCTTACTGAATGTTATTGTCTGTATTCATCTTAGCATGTATTTTTCTTGGACTTTCTAGGTATACTTATCATTTGCAAAGAGATTATTTCTCTCTTCCTCAGGGTACATTTTTAAAGCTTTGTATTGCATATTCTCAAATTCTTTAAAAAAAACAAGGTACCAATTTATATTCCTCCTTCAAGTGTTTCACCATATTCTTGCCAGCACTGAGTATTAACATTAAAAAAAATCTTTGCCAATTGAATACCATCTCCATTCTGGGCCCCTTCTCCACCAGGTGCTATATGTGCGCCCAGCAGGGAGCACCAATCTCAGCCCCCTCTGGGAGTCCACAGTCTAGGAGACAATGCTTAAGTTTCTTCCCCTCCCCCTGGTTTATTTAGGAATAATTGTCAGATAATAAAAATTGTATATATTTAGGTTGTACAACGTGATGATTTAATATACGTATACATTGTAAAATGATTACTACAATCAAATTAACATCCATCACCTCACAGTTACTTTTTGCGTGTGCAGTGAGAACACTTAAGATCTACTCTCTTAGCGAATTTGAAGTACACAGTACTGTAGTACAGTATTAAGCTGTAGTTTACTACTGTACATCCCTAGAATTTAACCCTCTTATAACTGAAAGTCAGTGCCCTTTCACCGTCTCTCCACTTCCCACAGGCCCTGGCAACCACCCATCTACTCCCTAGTTCCAAGAGATAGTTCGACTTTTTTAGAGTATATATGTGAGATCATATAGTATTTGTCAAGGCTGAAGTTTCTGGAGATTTAAAATTAAGACTGCTGCTGCCTTTCTGAGCCCAGCTGATGGGAAAAAGACTGCCTGCCTTAGTGGAGAAACCCATCTGGGGCCCAGGGAACTCGTTCTGGAAAATCCCTGAGCAGTTATGTAAAATCCATCCCCACCCCCCTTCTGTAGAGGCTCATCGTAAGCCCTCTGGGTGCCTCACTTGGTCCCCTACACTGCCTGGGCAGTGCCAGGAGCAAGGGGCAGACCCAGGCTCCCTCCAGGAGGCCCAGTCAGGCCAGCTGTCTTTCCTGGGCTGTGTACAGAGGCGGGGGTGGGTGCCGAGGAACCTTCCCCATAGCTGAGATCCAATAAAATGGATAAACTGGATGGGAGCTCCTGCCTTCCCATAAAGCCCTGCTCTCCTGTGAACAACCCCGTCTGCCCATCTGCAGAAGGCACTGCTCATTGAAACAGACTGCTGGGCCCCGGCTGGTGGCGTCCCAAAAGGCTGGGTAGGTTGTGGAGAGCCACAGCCCACAGGGCTCACCCCCCTTCATTTTTTCCCTCTTCTGGGCCTGGTGCACCCCCCGCCCCCCGCCTCCTCCTTCATGCAGCTTGCCCCAGCTTTGCAGGCAGTCCAGGCAGCCGTCTGTTCACATAACCTTACCCCCGACACACACCTGTGCTCACAGCTCTGCACCTTACTTGCTGTGTGGTCCCAGGCAAACTGCGTTACCTCTCTGAGCTTGTCTCTCTATCTGTACCTCAAAGGCTGTTGTGAGGCATGAAGGAAGGAGAATTTGCACCAGGTCTGCACAGCTCCTGGCACAGGGAGGGGCTCCAAAAGTGTGCGTTTACTGAATGACAGAGTGAAAGAATGAATGAATTCTGCTGGCAAATCTTCTGGTGGCTCGTCTCCCTGCTCAGATGGTCAGAACAGGAGTGTCATCAGGTCCAGGGCCACTTAGGTGCAACCTTCCTTCAAAATGAGCCACTGCACCCACGGTACCGTTGAATCCCACCCTGGCGGCAGGACCAGCAGTCTCCTTCAGGCCACACCGAGGATGAGCTGGGCGGGTCGCTGGGCAGAGGAGGGCAGGGCCTGCCTGGCCCCGCCCAGGTTGCCTGACCTGCTCCTCCACAGTCCTCTCTGCTCCTGCAGGCGTGTGGATCTTGGCACTGCAGCCTCGTCCCAGTGTCCTCTGACAGTCGGGGACACGGGGGGAGGAGGGGGGGGTGTGACAGGCACACCCACCAGCCCTGGCCGGCCCGGGCTGCTGGGTCCTCAGGAGAGGAAATTTCCTTCTCTATTTATTTTCTACATCCTTGACTTTGAAAGCCAAGCTGGTGTTGATATTTACCTTGGCCCGGCCTCCTCACCTCCCCGGGCCAGCCTCGTGTAAACACGATGTTCCCTCTCTCAAGCTAGCGTTGAGGTGGCCTTTTGCAACCAATTCTAGGAATTCTGAAAGTCTGAAGACGTCAGTTCAGGAACCAGACCCCAGGGAGCCCAGGGTGCGAGGAGCTGGGGCGGGAGCCTCTGTGCCGGCCACAGAGAGCGAGCCGGCCTATGGGGCCAGCTAGGCTGGGCCTCCCCCACTTTCTCTCATTCCTGTGGGGGCCCTATTTTCTCCACATTCATATCCCCCCGTCACCCGAGATCTGACTCAGAGTCTCAAGCTCCCCAAGTACCCACCAAGGAGGGACAGAAGCAGGATCTAGCTGTCTCCCTGGGGCTGGGGGCGGAGAGAGGGCCCACTCTCGAGGGGCAGCCAGCTCCGTAGTGTTTGTCTGGGTGTGTGGTTTTTAGTTCACATGGATCATGGAGCAGGTTGCCGAGTATGGGAACCTGCAGAGGCAGGAAGCGTGTATGCAGGCAGTCTGGGCTCCGTGCAGCAAGTGTGCAGCCCAAGTCCCTGCCCTCAGGCAGTTTACCTCCCAGGCGGTATATGGACAAGACAGCAGCCGTGAAGGACACAAGGTGACCTGGGGGGCTGTGTGGTCAGGGGCACAGAAACAAGCGTGAGCGGGGACTGACTGGGAGTTGGAGCGCCCAGGGGCCTCCATGTGCCCAGGGGCTAAATGCCAGCTCTCCCCGGCTCAGCCACTGGTTGGCTCGCTTACCAGAGGTCTCGGGCAAGTGACTTGGCTTCACAATACCAGAAATGGAGGTGTTGCTCCCTTAGTGACAAGGGAGCTGTGAGGCACACAGCGTGTCACCTATGAGCAGGAGCCACTTCTCCTCTTACTTGTCATGGCTGCACAGCTGTGAGCATCCATCTGTGGGCCTCACCGGGCCCTGGACACTCCGCTGACTGTCTCTCCCTCTCCACGCAGATCTGGGACATGAGTGATGATGAGACCGTCTGACACAGCCACCCTCGCGATGCCAGCTTCTCGCTGGCTGCCTGCTGAGGAGCTCTCAGTGGCCGGAGCAGGACAGCCACCCCAGGACCGGCGATTCTCGGCCCTGCGCCATCCCAACCTCTCTGGTTCCCTCCTCGGCATACCTCGAGGACTGGGGCCTTCCCTCTGCTGCCCAGGAGCTTCTGGTATTCTCCATTTCTCATGATTCACGACACCACCAGTTCTGAGCTAAATAATAACCTTGGCTTTGCCCTTCATCTGGGACTTGGCTCCCTCCACGCGCGGTTCTTTTCTCTCGTTGTCACAGTGTTTGAGAGTCAAGCTCCCAGGATCCTTTCCGTCTTGGCCCTTGTGGGGTGGCAGTGAAGACTGGGAGGAGATGGCCCAACACAGACTAAAGGGGGAAGTGAGAAACCCAGTCCTAGAAGGCCACGGGGGGCAACACGGCAAACCACACGCCCTCACCGCATCCCATACTTTGGTGTCCGGGCGGCCATGTCACCAGTGTGGAGGGCTGTCCGTGTATGTGTGTCTCTCTCAGCCTGTGGCTGGGTGTCCAGCAGGCAGCGAGCATTCATTCAGATGGGCTCTGCCGTGTGTCTCAGTCTCAGACTGATTTTCTTCTTTATCCTGGGTTTGCAAGTCTATGACACCCACAGAGGTTGATGTGGAAACCCAGGAGAGAGGAGGTACCTTTTCCACACTTATCTTTATGGTGTCATCTTTAGTCTCAGGCCTAGAACCAAAGTCAAAATGGCGTCTGAGGCTGACCAGAGTAGGATTTCTGTAGGTTAGGTTTTAAATGAGGCTTGTTATATGGAATTAAAATTACAATTTCCATCCTATGTGGGGCTTACATAGGGGTGCCTCCCTAGGCAGGTGCAGGGCCACTGAGCCCCCTCCGCCTCCCCCAGGGCCTCACATAAGCAGAGGCCCTGGCACTATCACTCCAAGACCCCAGGGTCACACACACAGTCCGTGGTTTAAGAGCACTTTATTATTGTTCTTAAGGCTACTTTTAAGTACAAAAAAAAGATGGCCTGCCAAACCTTTTTTTTCTTCTTCCACAAAACAAAACAAAACAAAACAAAAATAACAGGCCACAGAGAATGGTATATTACAGATTTACAAACACGGAGAGAACTGTCCGGACGCACTGCAGATGGCGTGGCTCTGTGAAGAAGCTCACGGGCTCCTCCTGAGAACGGGGAGTGTGTCCTTTCCCGGTCAAGTGTTTGGTTTCCTGCTTCCCTGTCTGCCCGAGGCCCCCCTGGGGTACTTACTGCCTATCCCAGATAGGTCAGCGCACCAGGGACCTGGCTGTCCCCTCCCAAAGCGACGGCCTCGCTCACTGACAGAGAGCTGTCTGAGGAGCCCTCTTCACAGCGCCTGCCGGCAGTGGGGCTGTTTCCTGTGGCAACGCTCAGTAGCCTGTAGCAATAACAAACTAGTGGCTATTAAGGCAGATGCAGTGTTCTCATAGAATAACTGTGTTCCTGCACTTTTACAGACAAATCTACGACAAAAAAAAGATCAACTTTTTTTTTTCCAAACAAAAAAATATGAATGATTACAATAGGAAAGGGAAAAATTAAATAGCTACATATCATTAACAAATTAATTGTTCTTCAAAAAATACCTACAAATTTCTCTGTACATTCTTTACGCACAGCGTAATGATGGTCTTAAAGTTACCTATATAAAAAAAGTGTTCTCAACGATTCTTCCTACAGAAAATATAGGGGCCTGGATGCGAAAGCCTGGAAGCCCAGTTAAGTGGGAGTGAAATGTGTGCAGGGGGCGAGAGGAGAAGGGCTTTTCTTTCGCTTTTCAAAGATACCGACCGGCAGCCACCCTGTGACCACAGCAAGAGCAACGCCTCCGACCTTTTCACCTGGTGCCAATTTTCAAAATTACCCAGTTAACCTATATTTTTCTCACTGAAAACCAGCCTTGAGGGTTCCCATGAGTCCACAATGCCTTGCAGGTGAAGTGGTCACGCCCAAGTCACCTGGCCAGGTGACTTCCTAAGCCCTCTGGTGGGCGAGGCTGGAATGTAGCCCGGTGGCGGGGCAGGGGGATAGACACATGCAATTACCAAAAAGATCAGCTACTGAACATCCACAGCTGTGTCTGTCATGCTTTCTTCACCTAATTTCTAGTTAATAGCTATTACTATAGCAAATGATAATAAATGCAGTAATAACTGTATAAAGTCAGAGGAATGTATACTGCCTTGGCCCCAGCGTACGAGGAAGCATACAAAATACCATATCACAGATTGTCAGTAATCTGCTGTTCAGCCAAGTGAGTTAAAGGGGGCAGTTTCTGCATGGAGGGAAGCTGAAGACACAAACCCCAACTCCCCCAGGATCTATTAATAAAAGCAGGCAGGGATGGGAAAAAAAAAAAAACCAATAATGATGCTGTCAGCCTACAGCAAAACCTCCAGCATCCGACACCACGGCTGACCAATGGACTCACCGCCCGCCTCCGGGGACCGGCTAGCCCCACGCTACCTGGGAGTCATGTGAATATCCAAGACCAATCTTAGAGTACAACTGTACCAGCAGTAAGTGTATCTAGGACTGTAACTGACAAAAATAAACTCTGAACAGAAGCTAGCAAAGTATAAGGTTTGTGTTTGCTGTCTATACAATTAATAGAAACCAGCTATTTCTCTCCACTTAAAACATGCATCACGTTTAAAGCACTACGGCACCTCCAAGCCTCAGCTCTAGTCTAACAAACTGCAGTGTTTAGGAAAAGTAAAATGCCCGTGATTGGTAGTCTGCAGTCCAGTTGCAAGCACCTGAAATCTAGAGAGAGAAAGACCTATAACCTGTATGAGACTTCCCCTTCCAAAAAGCTGTTTTGTCTAAAATTAAAAAACAACAAAAAACACACAAATGGTCAGAAATGTCATCCTTAAACCCTTTGTTTTTCAGCAGTTTGCCCTCAGAGTACTAGCATCTCACATAAAGTTGTCAGGCAGGCAACTCTAGTCCTCCTCCAATAGTGCAAATCAGACACGACAGTTCTCTTCAAGTAGACGCACACACACAAGCGCACACATGTGGGCTGGACCGAACAAGCCACGGAAGCTAAGCCACACTCACCCCGGTCTCGAGAAGCAAAGGGAAGCGCACGAAGCGTTTGGGTCACCAACGTCATGGCTTGTGACTGAGAAAGCGCGTGCCGTGGAGTCCTGGCCCTGTCAGGGCAACAGACCTGCGTCAGAGGTTTCTTTGGTAACTGAGGCAGGAAGTTAGGGTGCTACATGACAGATGTTCCACACGCCGTTCCTGCTATCATGTTCGAGGGCCCTGGCGTACACATACCAAGCAAGTACAAAAAACAACAAAAATCCCAACGACATGGTTTTTTGCGAATAAACCATCCCTTCCCTTCCCCCCCCCACCCCACTCCCGCGATTTTTTTGTTTTTCCATTTTTTTAAGCACTGACTGACTGTTCGAAGCTCAGGCAAACCATGCAGATCGACGTCTTGTTTGAGGGTGGTGCTCCCTTCAGGAGACCACAGAGGGGGAGTGACTGTGGCTGACCATGTGGGCAGAGGGGCTGGCGGGCTGGCCCCTGCGTGAGGCCGACTCAGGGCTGCTGGACGCGCCGTCCTTGGCCGCCTTGATCTGAAGCCACGTGTCTCCCAGGGCTTTGGCAAAGTGGTCGTCCACGGAGCCCGTGATGGACACGGAGTTGGGCGCCGGCTCGGGCTCCTTGTAGTTCTTGCCCAAGCTCCTGCGGAAGTGCTCTTCCACCACAGGGTCACAGGTGGTGGTGGCTGCAGGGGAGGACAGTGGTCAGGGCTGGGATCTGGGGACAGAGGGCCCACCTCTACCCGGCTTAGCTGAGCGCTAGGGCAGGTCACCTCTCTCTCTGAACCTGTAACTTGGCAACGTGCTGCCGCCCTGGGCTAGCTGTGAGTTCAGAGAGAGAAAGTGGCATTAAGTGATGGTAGAGCCCATTGTTCCCCCAACGAGAGGGATCTAGAGGTCAGGGCCAATGTGTGTCTTCCCACCCAACTCAGGCACAATGCTAGCCGCAAATGTGCCCAAAAAAACCCACTTTTCAGCCTCAATGACAAACTCCAGGGGCTAGATGTTCCCGTCTACAGCATGAGATAGAAGCGAACGCCAGTTGAAGTCATGTTGACTGAGGGAACCCAAGCCCACCTGGCTGTCCCCTCACCCCAGGAACACTTACAGCTCGGGGCCCTCCGGTAGCTGGCCGGCCCTGCCACACAGCCACTGTGTGCGATGGGGCAGTGGGAGAGGTTGCAGTTGCGGGCGCTGGCAGAGGCACAGGTGATCACGGAAGGTCGGTTCTGGGGAGAGGAGGGAGGCTGGCGTGAGCTCAGGCTTGCAAAGACAGACAGGACAGTTCTGCTTCCCCGTCCGGCCTAGACACCTGCCACAGCTGAGGGGGCCGACCACCTCCCGGCCCCTCCCACACCATGGCCGGGCACTCATCCTGCCTCGAGAGCCAAGTGCCACCAGCCACCTTAACACCCGAATCCCCCATCTAGTGGACCCAGCTCCTCCATGCAGGGCCCTCACTAGCACCTCCCACTGCTCTGCTGCGAGCCCGTCCTGGAGCCCATGCTGACCAAAGCTCAGCCCATCTGCCACTGCCTACTTCATAATCAGTCAAAATAACGGCGATTCCAGAGCGAGGGAGCCTCTGAGGGTGTGTGAGGAGCCTCCACGACTCCTATGGCTGAGGTCCCCAGAGCGGCGGTCCTGCCTTCTAGGTGCCACCGTACCCCAGGGCTTCTCTGAGGGATTCCAGTACGCTTCCAGCATACATTCAGTTTCTGCTTAAGTCAAAGCCACCTCAACTTGGTCTCCATTATGACCACACAAATGACGGAGACAGAAATGCAGGAAATACATGTTAAGTGTATGAATTACATGCACACCACCCCTCATCCAATCTGCTCTGCCAACTGTCTCCTTCCCCATAACCACCACCACTGCCTGGCAAACTCCACCCTTCCTTTAAAACCTGTTCAAATACCATCTCTATGAAGCCTTTTATGACACACACACACACATACACACAGTATGTCCCCGACTTATGAACGAGTTCCGTTCTGGGAAAACGTAAGTCCGACAAAGTGAGTCTTATACACCTTTGATACAAATATACAATGTAAAGCATAAAAAAACTAAGCACATACACAAAAATACTGTAAATTTTTACTTTTGCAGTTACCTTAAAATGGTGGTACAGTACAGTACAACTGGCATATAGGGATTAGATGGAGCAAACCGACAAGAGAGTTACTAACTGGAGGAGGGAGGGTAGGTGGGAGATGGTGGAGCTGAAAGGTCATCAGCTGTTGCACCGTACAGTAAGCACACAGCAGCACAACTGTGACAATGTCCGGCAGACACGTAAGCTACTTCTGTGATTTGTTCGCGTCTACCAATGTTTGTAAGTTGGGGACTTACTGTGTGTACATACACATGCACGCACGCCCGTCCGCCATTCAGCAAGTAAAGCAGCCCTTCCAGGTGCGCCTGTAAGATCCCAGCACCCGCCTCCTCCTCTAGACCAGGGGTCAAACTGCGGCTCCTGCGGCTCGCAAGCCACATGCAGCTCTTTGGGCTCTTTGGGTTCATTCCAACTCCAAAGTTTGCCGACCCCTGGAAGAGCCAATCCTGTCCCTCACAACAATTTAAAAATTATTCGACAGCCATAAATATATTTTTACATAATCACAATTATGTGAATAATATCCTTTAAAAATTTTGTAAATGAAACTGATAGTTTTATTTTCATTTTCAATTTTACTTCAGAGCCTGCGGCTCACGAGCCGCAGTTTGCTGACCCCTGGCGGCTCTTCCATCTCAAAAGTTTGCCAACGCCTCCTCTAACCCATGCACACATCAGAGCAGGGACCAGAGTATTTCTGCATCCCCAGACCTTGGTGCCGTATCCAGGCCAGGAAATATCTGTGAACCAAACTGCGCTTCCTCACATTCCAGCCAGGAAAGGTATCTCCTGCTTGCCCCAAGGGCCCAATGACAAAAAGTGTCAACGGAGGGGAATCAGGCTTGTCCACCGGCCTTTCCTTATAAAAATAACACAAAAGGCTTCCCATCAAACCTTCCTATGATTGACGGGAAATGAACAGAAATGACGACACGTTCTGTGGTGAGGATCTGTGTCTACTAATACGAACAGGGGTTAGACGTAAGGGCTTGGGTCTAACAAGAAGTTATACACATCCAAGAGGGGGAAGGTGGAGCTTAGCAGCAGCACATGAAAGGATTTGGGGGTTTTAACAGCGCGCCACACCAACAATGGGCATGGAGCCACCAAAGGAGTCGATGTGACTGTGAACACAATGGCATAGAGGAGAAAGCGTGGCTTTGAGGCCAGGTAGACTAGACCTAGAGGAGTGCCACGTCCCACTCCGCAGGTAGGACCTCAGGCAAGGGCCCGCACCACACTAAGCTTTGAGTGTGAAACAGGAAGAACAGTAACTGAGGAGAGGGCTGGGGGACCGCCTGGGATGAGGGGTGTGGGCGCCTGCCTCCTGCTCGCGTGTGGGAGCCCTGCACCTGGAGGACAGCCTGCAGCTTGGAGCCCACTTCTTGAAGGATCTCTCTTATCCCTGAGCCCATGACGTCCTCCCCTGGGAAAGTGCTCTCTATCCATGAGGTGGGGGGGCTAAGGTGGCCACGTTCATAAAGGACTCTGCCCCTTTGGCCAGGCTGGAGATCTGACCCAGGCTGGGGACCAACTGTTAAGCCAGACTCAGTAAGATATTCAAGTTGAACTCAGGAGCTACGGGACAGCCACGCCAGGCTGGACATGTGGGTCCCCGAGCAGAGAAAGGAGAGGATGAGAAGCCCGGACAGGCACAGAGCCAAAGGGAGGAGAGTCCCGTGTCCACTCGGGCTCTCGCAGGCAGGGGCCAGCCCTTCCTGCCTAAGTCTGGCTGCACCCAGGACCCTCCCAATAACACTTCCTTTTGTGCCTAAAGCAGCCTGGGCTGGTTTCTGTTCCTTGCAACCAGAGTCCTGACCATCGCAAATATTAGAAAGTGGGGACATGTTTGGGGAAGAGGTCATGGAAGGTGAGACGATGCAGGGTCACAGAATGGATCCAGGGAAGCTGAAGAACAGTCACGCGCAGCCTCTACGCCAGCGCGGTCCGAAGGTGGGAAGGGAAAGGCCACTCCAGGAGGGAAAGAGGGCAGGACTGCCAGCCAACGTGGGGACGCGGTGGGGACGTGGGGACGCTGTGAAGAGATTCCAGCGGCGCCCCTGGTACTGGATCATCTCTGGGACGCCTCCTGGCCTGGCCTGAGGTCAAGTGCACACCGTGCATGTGCACATGGTCAGGGCCTGGGACACACACACACCCCTCAGTCTTCGTGCTCA